CCCGGACCTTCTAGAACCTGAACCTCCAGCCCCACCACCAAACAAGGACGAGGCTCCCTGTCCTATAGTATCGACACCTGTTTGAAACAGTGATCCCACTCCACCAAACGGATTGGCAGCACCTAATGGGTTAACAGCGCCCAATGGATTAGCAGCACCTAATCCACCCGCCCCTCTACCTAATATACCCGAGGCTCCTTGTCCTATGGTATCTGTGCCCCTCTGAAACACGCTTCCTACGCCACCAAATGGGTCACCACCTCCTAAACCTCCAGTTCCCCTGTTCAATATACCACTAATGGGTTGAAGTGCTCCGGATGGGTCAACCGGCTCTTGACTACCGGCGCGTTTAGGCTTTTGGTTTCCCTTCTTCTTGGGTTTGGAGCCGCGAGAGGGCGGACACCGACTCTTGCCGTCGGCAGCCGTCCCGCAGATTTGATTGAGAGGTAAACCGATTACACTTTCGCCGTAACTCTTGATCACACGAGAGGTGTATGATTTGGGACACCTTTCCCTCTCCATAGCTATAGTAAAGCCCGCGTGCAGTCCACTAATACACGCCCTGTATTTGCTGTAACGGCTATTGTATCGGAAATAATAATTATAATATAATTAATTGTTTTATTATCAATATATATATATATACATATATAGGAAAGCATTTATATTTATTAAAATTAATAAAACAACTTTGAATATGTAAACCCCTTAAAATAACTATTCTAATTACTTATCATTTGACTTACAAGTTAATATAATTCAATTAAATACTGTAGAGATTTTGAGTTTTTAATAAATTATTTTATGTAACGCAAATTATTTAAAATATTCTAGTTTATAAAAAAGTAAATAAACATAAAATATTTTTACAAAATAGAAAAATAATCATTAGTTAATAAGAATAAATTAAGATAAAAGTATTTCCCTTTTTCCATCAACTAATTAAAAATATCTTATAAAATACGGTATAACTTATCATATTTAAAGAAGTAGACCGAAATAATTTTTGTAATTAAGACCCTATTTGAATTTATTAACCAGATATACAAAGTAACATGATACAATACTGACCAACAAATATCGTTACCCGCACGCGAGGAAACTGAGCTAGGATTGAATCCGGACAATATATTTCTGGGTAAATAATTTTCCAGACAATTACCCACACCGGCAGCCACTATGGCATCGCATTTACCCACCCCGGGTAGTCGACCCTGAGGTCGAGCCCCACCACCAAATATATTCTGACATTCAATACTGTGTTGGGACACAATCACCGCCAACACTACAAAATTTATGTAATGTTTTATTGTATGAAACATTTTGTTAGACAACTAAATATAATGAGAGTTATTATATCGCGATTGCATTTATATATCGAAAGCGATTTTAAAATATCGTGTTTTTTATTGTTTAATAATAAAAACATAAAATTCTAATAACAGGTTCACATTAAACTCAAATTATCCTTAATATCCTTGTGATGTCAGTGCAATAGTTATATTAATACCGGATTTTTGTATGCGATTTGCTGTTTAATCGCATCGAAAACACTACTCAATCATCTAATATTAAATTAGATGTTTCGCTGGACTCGACATCACATTTTGAAAGGGATTTCCCTTTTTAAATGATAATCAATCAGTGGTTTAGGGCATCAAATGCTGATTATGGGATACAAACGTCAGTGAAATTCATTAAAAGTGAACTTTTTTCGGAGAATTTTTGCGCAAAAATTTAATCTGTTTTAAAAATCCAAATAATTTTCCACGATTTTATTTAATTGTAAAACATTTAAACAATTTTTGGTGGTTTTAATAAATAATTACTAGCACTCTATTAATAGTGTAAATCATTACTTATTTTCATATATTTAAAAGTATTTACTATAATTTATAATGCAATATGTTGGTAACTTTAACTGTTCATAACTTAATTTAGCTTATACAAAAAATATTAAATTACATAATGTTTTTTATAACAAACTAATAAGATACTGAATTAATACATTATCTGTATTTTAAATGCTATTAATGGTTATTTGATTTCAAAGACTTGTTTAACAATTAAATTTTATTATAAATGATTTAATTTAGCAAATATTTATCCAGATTTTCGTTTTCTGGTCGGACATTGTGAGCGGCCCTCCCCTGACTCGCACATTAGCCGGACGGGTGCGCCAACACTATTGCCAATCGACATAATAATACGCGTGGAGTAAGACTTCGGACACCTTTCCCTTTCCATAGCTATTCGGAGGCCATCATACAGACCCGTATAACAGGCCTTATATTTGCTGTAATTGCTGTCATCAATAAATATTAATTAATCCAAATATACAATAATTAATCCCAAGTTTAATAAACAGAATATTATTATCATAAATATATTTTTTTATAAACATTAAGGGAAGTCATACCAACAAACACCACCTCCACTGCCGCTTCTCCTGTAAAGTCTTACGGGATATAAGAAGTTTTGGTAGCAATTCATGACACCAGTGGTGGCTAACCTATCGCAGGCCCCTATAAATGGCAATCTATTGAAAAAACTTTGACATTCAAATTGGCCCACAATTATAGCCAATATTATGATATATTTAATCATTTTTAAATATTTTATCGTTTGACAAAGTTTTCAAGTGTCGAAAATTCAAATTCTGGTGAGTGGTATAAACAATGAGCCATTTTATTATGAAAAGACCTTGGTTCTACACCATATTTATAGCAATAATAAAGTTATTATACCGGTACTAATTGAAAGTTATTTTACTTTTATTGCTTTCATTTAAATAGCTGGATTTTCCTTCAAACCGATATTACCTAAACACATGAAAAATGTAATGTTTGTTATTAAAAGTTAGTACTTTTAAGTGTAATCAGTAAAATCAGTACAAATTACTAATTTATTTGTACTCTTCTATAAACTTACTATTATATTAAAATAAGTAAATTTATACTTATTTTTTGATACAAAAGCAGACAATTTTTTCAATCATATTTCATTGATAGAAAGTACTTTCAACTGAAATTTCTATTCGTTTCAATGCTATAATGTTGTCCACATTTTGCATAATTAAAATTTTATAGAAATAATAAAACCAATACTAAATTTTTTAATTTATGCTCACTCAATTTTATTATCAATATTTGAATTTAACTTTTCAATCAATATATCGTTCAGAAGTTGTAATTTCTTTTGCAGGACTATATCATTATTTGAGTGCAACATTAGCTGAAGTAACTCCAGTATCATCGCAGGGCTACCAAACCCAGGGATGTTGACAGGCAATGGGTTATCCATATGGAAGTCCAATAGAGTCTTTAGCAACTCCGGTATCTTTATCGGTGGACCAGTCTGTTGAGTCTCATCTGAATCATGTTTTATCAATATATCTGAAAAAGTTTTTAAAATAATTTATACAGAATTTACAAAATTCTGGTTTTGCCAGAAACTAATAAATAGCATAGTAAGCAAAATAATCACATTGTCCAAATAATTAATAATGCTTAATTAAAAATAAATATAAATAAATACCTTTTGCTAAGTTTTCATTGAGTATAAGTAGCATAACTAGTATAAATAATTGCCATAAACTCCTAAGTGATGTCATTTTACAAGTTTAAGATTAATATTATTAAAAACTTGTCAAATATATATTTATATAAACAATCATTTGTTATTTTAAATAATGTTTAGGTTAAATGAAATAAATTCATGATAAAATGTGGTGAACTAAAAAATTATTTTAATCAACTAATTATAAAATTAGAGCTTTAAATAAGGTTATGGATAAA